TCAAGTAAAGCTAACTTTCTAATATATAATTTGCTAACAAAGGCTATAAACGATTTAAATATGAGAACTTCAGTTTAACCAATAAATAATTTAAAAAAAGAACTGTACATTGCAAATATTTAAAAGCTGTAACATGACCATGTGAAGTAGTAAATTTGCCTCTACTTTACATACCTTCAAAAACATAGCACGAACCCGCTTAAGAATGGCAGGAATTCCTCGTTCAGCTTCAGTTATTGCAAGAGGGCAAAGGGGGAAAGCTGGGCATGCCATTGCTGTTAAATTGAGAGGATCCACATGCCTAGGTTCCTAACCATATAAATATATATTTATACATATATGAAGGGTGACATTCAAGTTTATAGCTGGGTATTATACTTGTCGAACACTGGGCATACCATTGCTGGCACTAAACTTGCTTCCGAAAGTATGGAAAATAATGGACTTTCCCACTGTATAATATACTCCGTAGTTGAATTTTTTTGGCCATATAGAAAATGATAACCAATGTATTGCTTTTACCAATTCAACATTGATTGTTTCTAAAGATGCATATTAGGAACATAGCCTTACCAGCAGACCAGCCTGTGAAAGAGCCGTAGAGATAGAATCCTTCCAGGCATGTTGTATATCACAAAGGATAATGTTCTGGTTCGGTGTAATGCGAGCATCCAAGTTATACTTCTCAATAACTTCACGTAGCGTCTTCTTGATTTCTCCTTTAACACGACCATTGTCAACATGAACACCACAAAACAAATTACCATCTCCCTGTCAATGCATATTGCCAAATTATCATTAACAAGAAATTCCAAAATAGCAAAAGGGATAAGCAGAACAAGAACTCAACACAACAAAATTTCACAGATTGGCATAATCAAGAAGTTAACCTGTTCATGCCACCCCAAGTAACTTTTGAATTCCCACTCAGGCAAGTCACGGCAAGCTTCGAAGTTCTTTCCATAATATTGTTCAACAACAGTTCTAAATTTATCAATCCCCCATGAGCTGAGTAAATATTTCATCCTGCTGTACTTACGGTCATCTCTTCTACCATTTTCTCTCTGTGTAACGACAATAGCTTTCACAGCATATAATATGTCCTCTTTCGGAACATAGCCCAATGGCTCTGCAAGACGAGGAAATGTGGCCTCAAGCCTATGAGTCCGTCCCATTCCGCCACCAACCTGCAAAGAAGTCATACAAAGCTTGCATTAGTGTTCCCCAAAACCCAGTATTAAATACTACATCTGTCCCATAAAAGGAGTGTGTTGCATCAAGACATGACTCTGGTAAATCAGCCATCCTACTCATACATTAATCTTTATGTTTGTTCAACTACAGTAAGCACACAGCACACTTCACTTGTTAGGAGCATTTTTACTGTATTACATTAATTTCAATGAAATTCAGCTCTTCATTGTTTAAATAGGACTCATTTCTTGGGAGATAGTATGACATTCTTACGTATATGTTGAAACCCTGAGGCTCTCCATTAGCATCTGGAACGACCACTACTCCCACGTCATTTGTGAAAAGGTCCACTGAGTTGTCTGTTGGTACAGTAACTGCAACTTTAAACTTCCTTGGCAAGAACTGAGTCCCATAAATGGGCTCGGCAGAGTCAGGGAAGTTTGTTCCACGAGAATTATCCTCACGGGCTTTGACTACTTCAGGAGATTCTGCTGACATAAATCTCTCCCCATCCACCCAAACATCATAATAAAACCCAGATTGAGGAGTTAAAAGTGATGCGATGTCATCAGCAGTTTGTTGGGCAAATAAATAGCTTTTATCTGTAATTGGGGCTGCAGGAGCAAGTACATTTCTATTGAGATCACCACATGCACCAAGAGTGGACCCCATGTTTCTAATAATCTTCCCCATCACAGTCTTAAGGTCTTTCTTCAAGACACCATGGAGCTGAAAAGTTTGTCTTGTTGTCAATCGGAGGGTTCCAATGCCAAATTGATCTGCAAGATCATCCATAGCCAAATAGAGTTTGTTTGGAACCTTCCCGCCGGGGTTTTTCGTCCGGAGCATAAATGAATATGACCTTTTACCACGCTCATCTCTATCATATTGCTGATAACTCCCATGAAACTTTATCAATTGTGTAGCAGCCTCATTAATATTTGGTGCTGCTGTAAGAATCTCCTCGTTGAGAGGATACCGTATGAAGTTACTTTGTTCTTTGAATATTTCAACCTTGCTGCGCTTAGGCTCAGTGGTTGTGTCAGACTTTGCAGGCTGCAAAATAAAAATTTAGAATCAGAAAGCTCCATCTTATGTTAATGAAGCACATTCGAATAAAACTACACATGTTGTTTCCTTCACCATACATCACTTTTGTTGCATGATGATTTGAGCCAAACCAACACATATTTGGTTTTGGACACAACCTAAAAGACCTCATACTAACGGAGTTAGTTGAACACTTATACTCAAGGTTATTCTTAAGTACTCAATGTGAAATTACTGTTGATACCCCCAAAATATGATGAATATGATGTATGAAAATTGAAAGTTTGGTGAAATCAGAAGAGAGCAATTGTTTTGGTAATTGTTTAAGTTCTTAGCAATGAGTATTCGCAAATAACTATTTCTATTTATAACATCTATTCTTGATGGAAATGAAACTTTTTCCAATCCTCCTTTTGTTCATTCAATTCTTTTCAACATCAACCAAAAGCTACTGCTTTTAGTGGCCTTTTGTATTCATTAACATGCCAAACTCCTAAATGAATTGCAATAAACCCAACCAAATTCCTCATTGAACTATACAAGTAAAGCAGAATCGAATCCAACTCTCTAACATTGCATTGGGAAGCACTAGATGTAAGCTGTGTGCATACCCACACCAGATTATAACTCATTAAACTCGATTAAAGCATGAAACACGACATTTTCACTTAGAGCAATCAAATCCAAACTGGAATAAACTGTGGAGAAACATTAAAGGCGCGTGGACGACGAAGAAATGCTCACAGTAGATACGGATCTAGTGATCGAAGCATTGCGACTGGAAGAAGATACAGAGCGAAACACGCGCACACGCTCGCTGCGCGTGAGGGGATCAGAGCCATTCCTGAAGCTGGTAAAGCTCGAAACTTGAACCTTTGGGTCGTTGCCGATGGCTGGCCTACCCAGGATAAACGACGTCGTCGTCATCTCCTCCGAGAGATCACCTGGTTAGCAGAAAATTCCGCAGCTTTCACCCATGGGGTAAATACAGTATATAAATATTCCCTCCCAACAAGATTCTACATTAAAGTGGAATTCTACTCGTATTTGTCCTTCTAGTCTAACAAAATAAAATACTCCATGTATCATAATAGAGTTTTTTTTTTAAATATTAATTTTTAGATATTTAGTTTTATTATTTCTATTCTAAATTTTTACACCAGTTTTTGATAATAAATTTTAATTGAAAATAATTTTTGCCACATTCAACAAATATATTGTTAGAGACTATCTTACATCAGAACTTCGAGATAAAATAAATACTCCTTCGGTTCCAAATTATTTGTCACATTTCTATTATCGAGGCAAAATATCAAGTTTTTTCAATTCATTTTATTTACATATTGGTAAAAAAATAAAAAATAAAAATTACATATCAAAAAACTACATGAAAAGTTCTTCGAAATAAGAGGTGTCAAGAATATTTTATTTTATCAAATAACCAATGAAAATGTAAAAATAAATAAAAGTTTCCGCGACTGTTGAAAAAGCAAATGTGGCAAATAATTTGGGACAGAGTGGGTAGGTTTTTTAAACTCTTGAATTGAACTGAATTTTTGATTGGATTTAAAATTTTAATATGGTTCAGTCTAGTGATTCTTACCTCATCCTAAATTCTATCATTTATTACAGAATTTTTTGGACCATCTTATTGTCAAGGTATCTATCTAGATGTTCATTGTTTGTGGTCCGCAAGTCATTAGCCCAATTTTCCGAGTGGAATGCATACCAAACAGACTCTGACCCATTTAATCTGATTGTTCGTTTGAAAGTTTATACCTAGCGACTCGGCATCCTTTGGATGTTGGCGCTCAAATATTGGTGATAGATACCTTAAACTAGGGGGTATCCAGTTGAATTAAATTGGCAGGCTCAACATGTAAGCCCATTGAGCTTTGAAGTATCGGGACACACTCGGCGAGGTGACACACACTTTGTAAAAGTACAGGTAGGCCAAAGCAAATATTCAATGTGTTTGATCACACTCGACCTCTGCCTACGAACATAAACTCGGACCCACCTACTTACGCAATGCGTACATAATACAATAAAAATGTGTGCTAGCCGCTCGACCTCTGCAATGACACATGCCCTTACTCTGGCCAAATGGCACACTCGAATATCGAGAATCGGGACTTAAGCGCAAGATCACGCGAAGAGGCTTTGGATTCCTCATGCTTTATCTAAATTTACGGGCCCACTCAAAAACATCCATTGTGCATAATGCACCTGTACAATGCATAATGCATATATTCCTTGTACAACTGCCAAGGGTTCGATACCCCACGGGCCTGCCGCATGGGTGTGACATGGGCCTTGACAACAATTAGATGATAATTAGATAAGAACATGTAACTTGTATAAATACCTTACATCACTTTGAGGAAGGGGCATCGGAATCAATATCATAATAATCTTTCTAAGTAATACTATACTCGAACTGCACTCTTGCAATCTAAGGGTACTCTACTGCTCGTTCAAACTACTCTCCTTACCTAGTTTACTCTAGGCCTACAGCCCTTTCGCTCATCTAGACATATTAATTACGTTGATTTTTACACCATCAATGACTTTGCATCAACATGTGAAAATATCATGTTACATAAAGAAATATTATTTTCGTTATATATGAACATTTTCGTTATATATGTTGGTGTTACATATGAAAGCATCCATTTCATTATATATGGATATTTTCATTATTTATTTTGTGAGCGTTATATATAAAAATATTGAATTTGTTCTATATGAAAGTATAGGATGCCGTCTTTATCTCTCAACCATAGCACATCTCTTACCCATCATTTTGGTAGAGTGCATCTTCACGACCTCACTATTAGGTCAGATCGACTTATGTCACTTTGATTGCAATCTTTTTTTAGTAAAAAAGAATTCATTCGAAGGATTTGTTTAGTATGAGCTTAGTTGCGCATATCGAGAATTTGTTTAGCAAGTTTTCGAAATTAGATATGACTTCCAAAATCAAAATTTCTTAATCTCTTTTAGCCAAACAAGTTGGCTAACTAATTGGCCACATTTTTTAAAAAAGTGAATTGGCCACATTATTTGACTTGGGCTTTAAAACAAAACATACACTATTTACAGATCCAGGCCCCCTTCAAATAAAAAAAAGAGAAAAAAACCTACGGACCAGACCGGCAGCCCCATCCCTCGTTGACCCTACTTACCCCGCCCCACACTAACCCCGTTTCCCGTCCTCCAAAAGTCACGTGTATTCCTACGTGGCGTTTTTTACCCCGCCACGTCATCCCTCTCCCTCTCCCCCATTTTCAAACTCACTTTCTCTCTCCCCGAAGAAAACAACACTCTCTTGGCTTCTCTCTTCTTTCTTTCCAGTCTTTTTTCGTTTTTTTTGCAGGTAATTTTTTCTTCTTTTTATTTCTTCAATAAAATTAAATTTAATCAAATAAATAAATAAATATAGATGTATATATACATATGCTCCGGCGGAGTGTTCTTTCTCTCTCTCTCTCTGTAAAAGGGCTGTTTTTTTTCTCTCTCTAGGTGAAGATATATAGCAGAAGTGGAGAGAAAGATTTGATTTTGGGGGGTGGGAGGGGGGGGATTGAGATGAATCGAATGTGATGGGAGCAGGGATTTCGCATCTGCTTCCCTGTGTTAACCCGGAGGTGAACCGGGAAGCGGCGGAGGAGGCGGCGGAATTCTCCGGCGGCGAGCCGCTGGACGAGACTCTGGGCCATTCGTTCTGCTACGTCAGGTCTTCGGCTCGCTTCGCGGCCTCTCCTCCCCACTCCGATCGGTTTGTTTCGCCTTCTCAGTCGCTCCGGTTCGACGAGCCGGTTCAGCAGGAGAAGCCCAGACCGGGTGGTGTCCCGGAGACCGGGTTCCGGGCGATTTCCGGCGCGTCGGTGAGCGCCAATACGTCCACTCCGAGAACCGTCCTGCAAGTCGAGAATTTCTACGAGGATGGGGGTGGTACTGATGGGAGTACCTTGGGCTTTAGTGGTGGTACTGGATCGAGGGGTAGTTTCGTCAATGGATTCGAGAGTACTTCGTCATTTACGGCCTTGCCTCTTCAGCCCATTCCTCGCGGCGGCAGCGGACGGGAGCCGCCGTCCGGTCCGATGGAGAGGGCCTTCTTCATGTCCGGTCCGATCGAGCGAGGAGCCCTATCTGGACCGCTGGATTTCCAAACTGGACTAGATTCCACCTCTAACGGCGTCCCATTCTCGGCCCCACTGGGAGGTGTTTCTCTAAAGAAGAAAAGGAGGAGGGGCATTTCGGGAATTCGCAAGGCTTTGTACCTGAGCTTCCCGGAGAAGAAGAGACAGTGGGTCTTGCCGGTCAGACATTTTGCCGGCCGGAAAACCGCTCCGCCTCCTCCAAGCTCCGGCCGTCTGCCTGAAATGAGCCGCGATAGCAATGTTCAATGGGCTTTAGGGAAAGCTGGCGAAGATAGGGTACACGTGGTTGTATCAGAAGAGCACGGATGGCTGTTCGTCGGAATCTATGATGGATTTAACGGTCCTGATGCCCCGGAATTCCTGATGACCAATCTGTACAAAGCTATGCACAAGAAATTAGAGGGTTTGTTTTGGGACAACGAAGAGATTGCGCCCGAAGCCCCTGCAATTTGTGAAAACATTCAACAGATTGACAAAGGGTCCGCAAAGAAGGTAACTTTTCATTCGGAGGAGGAGGTTGTGGTCAGAAGGAGAAGACGACTATGGGAATATTTAGCAGAGGATCATCCTGAAGATGGGCTGGATCTCTCAGGTTCAGATAGATTTGCATTTTCAGTAGAGGATGCTATTAGAGTGAACAATGCAGGTTCTTCAGTGAGAAGATCACTGCTGCTATCAAAACTGAAACACGGATTGTCTATGAAGCATATGGATGGTAAGAAGCTGTTTCCATGGAGGTTTGGTGGGTTGAAAGGGAAGGAGAAAGTTGAGGAGGGGGAGGACAGTTGTAGGGTAGGAGAGGGGAGGAGCGTAGGAAACGGGAGGAGGAGGAAAGTGGGCCCCGTAGACCATGAGTTAGTGTTGAGAGCAATGTCTGGGGCTCTGGAGATGACGGAGAATGCGTATTTGGACATGACTGATAAGCTTCTTGATCAGTATCCGGAGCTTGCGCTGATGGGTTCTTGTTTGTTGGTGGTTTTGATGAGGGACGAAGATGTTTATGTGATGAATGTGGGAGATAGTCGCGCTATAGTGGCAAAGTATGAGCCTACTCTTGAAGAGGCCACTTGTAGTTCGAACTCTAGTGTCATTGCTGATCGAGATACGATGAGGTTGACCGCTCTGCAGTTGTCCACTGATCATAGCACCAGCATTGAAGAAGTAAGTTTACCATTCTTTCCTTATGTTGGGTTTGAGTGTACTTTTTTGTCCACTTAGTTCGTGCGACTATGTTTACTTTGTTTGTGCTTTTGTGGGAGTTTCTTGGAAACAATCTCTATACGTTTGAGTAGAGGTAAGGCTTGCGTGCCCTACTTTTTGTGGGATTTCACTGTGGTTTTGTTGTTCTTGTTTGTTTTTTCCCCCCTGCATTTTAAAGGTTTGGGCTCTAAATGTAACTGGCTAGATATTACTTTTCTGCATTTTACTCTAGGTCTAAATGTTTTGGGCATTTGTGGAAACTTCTCCCTCCCCCTTAGGGTGTGTTTGGTTTGATGGGAGGGGAAGTAAATGGAGGGGCTCTAATGCTACCTTGTTTGGCTGGAAGGCAAAGAGAGGGGAGGGGAGGGAAAATGTTGGTCCCTTCCATTTTTTTAAACCAAATGTGGGGATAGTAGCATTTTTCTCTTCGTTCCCTCAAACCAAACACACCTTTAAGGCAGTTCGGGTTGAGGTTTCGGTGGGGGAAGGTTTTTGGCAGACTATGGGCATATTATTTTCGCCTCGAACTTTCTGAATCTGTTAGAATCTTTCTGGATTGGAAACTAGAACCATCTGGGTATCTCTCATTCTTTCTAAATGAGTACTTCCTGAAGTGACTGGAATTTTCTAACTGGATCTTCCTCGTCATCCAATCTGACCCTTTGGAGTATCATAAGAAGTTATGGAACATCAAAGCATGAGTTCAAGTGGGAAAGATGGAGTATTAAATTTAAACTGAGATTCAACTGTAGAATATTCCCTATGCCTATCATTTGCACAATCATTTGAAAGTATATAGTGAACTTTGCACTAAATAGTACTAAAACATCTGTGATTTTCCAATGTAGTACTTAAACTTTTTTATTCCCTAAATAGTACTTGAATAATGTCTAGTGACGGGAACAATGTCCAGTGATGGTGGACATTTAGTTTGAACAATGTCCAGTGGCGGTGGACATTTACTTGAACAATGACCAGTGGATAATGACCAGTGTTACTACATTGAGAAATAAAAACATAGGGTACTAGATTGGGAAAGTCACCATGTTTTAGTACTATTTAGGTAAATTCCCCAAGTATATATCACATTGTGAAAACCATTTGTTATGTTCTCATGGCTTTTGACTCTCAAATATCATGGCTATAATGCAGTTCTAAAATATGTTACTCTTATGGTTAACTAATTTAAGCAACAGCAAACCATTGTGTAATGTCCTACTTATATCATTCCATTTTTCAACTAGTTTGCTGCCTGACTAGTGTCAAATTTGTAAAAGCTAAAGGGTCCGTTTGGTATACGGAATTCATAGAATTGGAGTTGAATTGGAATTGAAATTCCATGGGATTCAATTCCATCGAATTGAATTCACTAATTCCAATTCATTTTTTGTACTATCAATTTCAAATCCACATAATTTTTGTGCTACCAAACACCAAAATTGGAATTGAAGTCCTCAATTCCAATTCCATAGTTTCAATTCCGTGTACCAAACAGGGCCAAAGGGTATTTTTGGATCCCCTACCCTACTCTTGGGTGTGATATATTGGGCTGGGTTTGGTAGGTATTTTCTTCTCTAGTTTTTCCACAGTATTTTTTGAGTCCCAAACGAACCAAATCAAAGACCCATTCTGGCATTTTCATTATCTTGGCAACGTCCATATGTAGTTTATAATTTGAGTGGAGGGCGTAATCATTTATTCAAATCGTTCGACAAAGAGTGCATGTAGTATTATGTTGCATATAGTTAATTTCTAAAATGTAGCATACAAATGATTAAAATGAGCATCACCAATTGATATCTTCAATGTAGTATTATGACCTTATAGTGTCGCTCAAACTATGTTATTTCTTAAGATATGTGTTAGACAATAATAATAATAGTACTTCTTGTAGTATTGGTTATGGTAGTGTTTCATTATTAGTCAGCTTCCTAATCCTATTTGTGGTAGATGTTGTATGTTAGTTAGTTTCTATTCTCTATTCCTAGTTGTGTTAGGAGTCTCTCCTATATATACTCTATCATGTACTTCATAATTCAATGACCAATATTACTATTCCAATATTTCAACATGGTATCAGAGCCACCGCTCTTGGTGACCTAAAAAAAAAAGTTCTTTGCTCCCGCCGCCGCCGGTAATTCCGGCGACGGCGGCTCCACCCTAATCACCTCTATTTTCTTTTCCTTCTTTATCCTCAAATCAACTTCTCCACTCAAATGAAAAAAAAAAGAAAAAAAACCCTTGTTGAAATCACACAAAAAAAAATATCAAAGGAGGAACTTCTCTCTTGTCATCTCCATGGTTCTTAAAANTCTTTCAGATCATCCTATCTTCTCAAAAAAAAAGAAAAAAAAAATTGTTGTTTCTTTCCAATTCACCATATCAAAATCTCTGACCCAAATTTTTTTTTCCCTCACCAATTCTTAACCTATTTTTTCTCTGAAATCACTCATTGTAATCATCAACCTCCCTTCTCTTTCTCTTCTATTGAACCAATAAAAAAACCAAAGTAAATCAGCGCAAAAGCAAAGCCAAAAGGGAAAGTAGTGAAAGAGGAAATAAGACCTCTACAACTCACCCCTTCAAGAAGGAAATAGGGCATTGCCCGGATCCAAGAAAAAGACAAAAAATGTCAAGGATCTTCAGTCAAACATGCATCTCCAGTAGCCTTCTCTCTTCTTCTTCGACGTCAGCAGCTACAAGTGCACGTCAACCTTCTCTCTTCTTCACCGACGTCAGCAGCTAATAGCGCACGTCAATTTCTCTCTTCTCCAACGACGTCAGCAGCCACCAACGCGCGCCACACTTCTCTCTTCTCCAACGACGTGAGCAGCCACCGGCGCATGTCAGACTTCTCTCTTCTCAAAGTTTCCAGTTTTCCATAATTAAAGGAGCAATATGTTTTAGGAAGATTTGTCTGCAGGCTAAAGGAGATTGTTTGCAAATATCGTTATTTTTTCTTAGTTTCTCTCATATAAAAGCTCTACTATTATGCGTGCATTACATTACATTATGGTGTTACATGTCTATTACAAAGGAATCATTGTTAAGTTTGGTTGTGTTATTAGCATGTTACGTTTCATCCTCTCTTTTTTTTATAATTTCATATATTCTAAATTCTTTTGCTCACGCCTTCTCTAGGAGGTTAGGAGAATCAAGAAAGAGCATCCGGATGACAGCAACTGTATTGTCAATGATAGAGTCAAAGGTCGCCTAAAGGTCACCCGCGCCTTTGGGGCTGGCTCCCTTAAACAGGTCTTTTTTCACTCTCTAGACTTTCATTCTTGTTTTTTTAAGATTAACTTCACAACCCCCTTGCGCGGGAGGAGTATTATGTGCATGTTTAACTTGGTTTTTACTACTGCAGTACTTTTTTCTAATACTAGCTCTACGGTAATTCTTTGGAGGAAAAAAAATCACTTTTTTGGTCATTGTTGATGCAGCGTAAGTTGAATGACGCGTTGTTGGAAATGTTTCGGAATGATTATATCGGCAATGCACCATATGTATCTTGCACCCCTTCTTTACGTCACCATAGAATCTGCGCCGGGGATCAATTCTTGGTTCTTTCCTCTGATGGCCTGTACCAATACTTGACAAACGAGGAAGTCGTTTCCCACGTTGGAACGTTTCTGGACAAATTTCCCGAGGGAGATCCTGCTCAACACCTCATTGAGGAGCTTTTATTCCGCGCTGCCAAGAAAGCTGGTAATTTTTTTTCATCTTTCTTTCTTTTGCCTTTTTTTCGTTTTCACGAATCAAAGGTTTTATTGGGTTTTGTAAGGCTCGAGCAAAAATAAATCTCACCCTCACAAAAAAGGCGAAACATTTTTTTCCCTGCCAGGCATGGAATTACATGAGTTGCTCGACATTCCAACCGGTGACAGAAGGAAGTACCACGATGATGTCACTGTCATGGTAATCTCGCTCGAAGGAAGGATCTGGAAGTCGTCGGGAAAATACCTTTGAAGAAGAACTCACAACCCAGACACAGTGGAACCTCAGCAGCAAAACAAACATTGGGAAACCTCAGTTTTGGCAAAGATCTAATGATCTGTCTGGTTTCATTTCAGCAAAGGTTTCATTATATGAAAAGAAGACTGACTGCTCTGCATGATGATGATGATGATGATGATTGGTATAAATTTTGTAGAAGATGTCTGACTCTACATTCCTTTCTAGATTTTTTAATAGGGCCCATAGGATTTTATTTTTAATTTTTATTTTTAATTATTCATTTGTATTTTTGTTGTTCTTTTTTTTGGTTCCATCTCACTTAGAGGTAGAGGAGTGCTTGTAATCAGATGTGTGTGGCTTACTTACTACTCACAGTGTACTCTATTTTGGAGGTGCATTTTCCCACCCAACTTTTTAACAGGACAAAAACCCCATGTGTAAAAACCCTTGGTACTTCTTGGAGGGAGGGAGGCATTCAAAGAATCATTTCACTCAGATTTCTTAGGTATTGTTTTATGGGAGAGATTTTTTCTTAATGAATTATTTATCCAAAACCATCTAAAAGCATGTTTTTGGGAGTGAAGTGTTTGAATTTGTATTTGTTTAATTCTTCTGAACACCAATAAATGAAACTAGGAAAAAAAATGACACAATATTTCTCATTGTTCAAACAAATTCTAATAATCTAATTTCTCTAAAATGAACTACAGTAATTGTCAAAATAGTACTCGTTAATTGATAATTATGTCCAGTTTAGTCTCTCCGACTACCGCCATCAAATTAGAGTCAAAACGACATTAAAACTTATATTTATTTTCTAAAATAATCATTTCTAATCAAATTTTCCTCCAAATTAGTCAATTTTCAAAATAAAATTTCATATAAAAGGTCTCCCAACTTCGCACAAGCACTGTGGATCAATTAAAAGGAAAGAATCCTGCTTGGGTAATTTACCAATGTAGGACCATATGTTTTTATTTCCTAATGTATGACCATATGTTTTTATTTCCTAATGTAAGACCATTAGTCATTATCTATTAGTCATCATTCAACTAAATGTCCAGCATCACTTGGACATTATTCTTCTCACTAGTCATTATTAAGTCCTATTTAGGGAATAAAAAAGTTTAAGTCTCACATATGACTTATGTTTTAGTTCTATTCCGTGCAAATTTCATAATGCCCTTTTAACCATCTCTTATACAAATGTATAAATATCTATGTTTGATGCAAGCATTATTGTTAATGAGAGAAGTAAATGCATTATTGTTAAACATCATTAACTCAACCAAAAATTTAAACTGGCTAATTGTAAGTTACAAAATCAGTCAAGTAAAGAAGCATTCTGAGTGAATCCATGATACTAAATCTTCCCGTTTGGCCACGAAAACCCCGGCACCGTTCTCGTCGCTCTTCTTGAATGGAGCTTCAAACCTCTCCACCTCCACCGCGAACGCGCGGGCCAAGCCACCCGCCCCCGCGGTGGCCGTGAAAACCTCCGGCAAAGGCTCGCCGTGCTTCGCCATTCGAGCGATGGTCGTCATCCATTCCTCGAACGCAGTCTGGGCTGCGCCTGCGGACATTGTCCGGAGATCGAGGCACCATTTGTTCCCCGCCTTGCTCTGCAGGTGGGGATAGACTCCGTACCCCGTTCCCGCGCGCAAAAGCGTGCGGGCCCGGTTCCCGAGGTTCCTCTTCCTGCATATGTCGATCAAGGCGTTGCAGAATGCCTTTTGAGATTCGACAGTGGAGTTCCGGAGAATCACCTGGAACTCCGCTCTCAAATAGTCATCACTAGTATTGTCTTCCTGAAGAAGACGTTTCATAAAGGCAGCCAAACTGGGGTTGGCTTTCTGCAGACAGCAGGAAACCAAACCCCAGTTCTGTTGCCTGCGCAAAGCATCCTCGTCGTCGTCACAATGCGACAACACGGAGAGTAGAGATCCGCTGAGACGATCGTCCGGTTTGATCCCTCTCTCCATAGCGACTTCAAAAATCGCGACCAAATCGTTAATTCTCCTTGAATTCCCCAAACACCGAACCAAACAAGTGCACCCCATGACGTCGAGGCCGACCCTACCCTCACGCATTTCCTCAAACAAGCTCATAGCCTTGTCCGGATCGCCCACGCTCGCATACACATTGAGCATTGCCGTGTAGCTCCGATTGTCGAGCACACAATGACCATCCGGGGACGGGGACGCTTTCATATTGCCAAACAACCGTTCGGCCTCCTTGACCAGCCCGAGTTCCGCACACGTGTTCAACAATGTGTTACAAAGAAAGGTGTCCATAGGCCAACCCTTAGACTTGATCATCTCCCAAAGCTCCAAAACATCCCTTCCCCACCTCGCCTTCCCGTAAATCTTGATCAAGAAAGTTAGGGTTTTCGCGTCCGGGGCGATCCCATTCTCCACCATCTCCCTAAACAAGCTCCGGGCGTGCCCAGGCTTTCGGGCCTTCCCCAAACCCTGCAACAGAGCATTGTAAACCGCCACCGTTGGCTTGATCTCAAGCTCCTTTATTTCTTGAATCACAAACACAATGCCATTGTAATCAGACGTGGAAGCGAACGCCTTGGCGAGAACGGACACCGCCACGGCGTCTGGGGCCCACCCACTGGCACGTCCCCTTTCGTACAGGCCCATCGCCTCCTCGGCCATCCCTGACTGAGCATACACATCAAGAACTGCTGAGTAAGTGACCTCATCAGGGATCAATCCTGTTCTATACATTCTCTCGAACCACTCGATCGCCTTGTCGAAAAGATTGCACCTTTTTGCCCCTGTGATGATGGTGGAGTATGTTATGTTGTCAAGATCCACCCCATTCTCCACCATCTCAACAGCAAGTTCCTCCATATGCCGAAATTGCCCCCCGGACCTCAAAGACTTCATAGCTACATTGTAGAAGATGGTTTCCAGCGGAAACAGGTTCTTGGATTTGATCCATTCCAAGAAAAGCAGAGACTTTTCCCAATTTCTCAAACTTTTGAGCAGAATCAGAGCGCTCTCTTTGCCTGGCGTCTCCGGGATTCCCTCAAGAACAGCCGCGAAACCCTCGCCGGAGAGATCGGATTCGTTCATCTTCCCGGCGAGCATCTTCAGCTCCCGGAGCTGGGAACTGTTGAAGGAGGAATGTGCAGAGCGGCTGTGGCGGTGGAGGGAGAGAGCGGAAGGTCTGGGTCGGGTCGGGTTGACCCAGATAGATAAGGGTTTCGATTGGATCTCGTTTTCTTTTGGATGGTCGGCGAGAACGGTTCCGGACAGAGGCCGGAGCTGTTCCGACAAAGACGGGCCATTTCTCTGATTTCGAAGCTCTTCAGCAAATTTATGAGGGGATTTTGTGGAATGGCAAGAAATGCTAAGCCTTCTTCTGGAATTGAAGGGAGCTTTGTATGGTTTAGTGTCCGAGAAGGATGACGATAATGGCGGATTGGTGAAATGGATGTGAAGAGCTGCTGAGAGCTTGGCAGCCATGGAAGCCGAAGAAGTTTTTCGGACCTTATCTTTTCGTTTTCTTTGTCTGGGGAGAAGATTTTGATCTAGGAATTAACGTTTGGGCCAAACGCGACCGGGCCTCAATATTAATTACTAGCCCATAAAGTCCAATTCTTCTGGCCTAATCTTTTAGACAACATTTTCTAAGACTCTCTAACTTCAATCTAGTCCAAAAACGATCCATACGCTGTATATTGGCAAAAAAAAAAAAAATGTGTATAATTGTATGAAAGTATTCTAAAAAGAAAATCTTATAACATCCGTTTCATGCATGTTATTAGGATACTATCCCGATTTAGACTAGGGGTGCATACAAATCAAATAAAATGTATTCGATTCGTGATTCATATTCGAAAAGGATGATTCGTATTCGCTATATTCGAATTCGATTCCGAATACAAATCATATTTTAGATTCGAATTATTTTTGAATTCGAATACAAATATTAATAGATTCGATTCGTTTATTATTCAAATTATTCGAATATTATAATTTATAAATAAATTTATATATATTCTAATATATTAAATATTTGTGTACATATTTTAACATATTTTAATATATTAAATTTTTGTGTACATATAAATTTATATATATTCGAATATTATAATTTATAAATAAATTTATNGTGATTCGTATTCGAAAAGGATGATTCGTATTCGCTATATTCGAATTCGAATCCGAATACAAATCATATTTTAGATTCGAATTATTTTCGAATTCGAATACAAATATTAATAGATTCGATTCGTTTATTATTCAAATTATTCGAATATTATAATTTATAAATAAATTTATATATATTCTAATATATTAAATATTTGTGTACATATTTTAACATATTTTAATATATTAAATTTTTGTGTACATATAAATTTATATATATTCGAATATTATAATTTATAAATAAATTTATTTATATCCTAACATATTTTTACTACATTTTACATTATTATAAAATAATAATTTAATATCTTTAAGAAATTTGTTTTAAGAAAAAAATTACTAATATTTTCGAATTCGAATATTCGAATACGAATTCAAATATGTCAAATATCTATCGAATCGAATATGAATGTTTTTTAAAATTCGAATTATATACGAATCCGAATTCGAATACATATCACTTTAATCGAATACGAATCGAATAGTGATATATTTGCTTCGATTCGATTCGTATACACCCCTAATTTAGACACCTACGATACTCCGTTCATAAAATTGATAATCCTACTCCTCCTAATCTCCCGGTAAGCTCCATATCCAGTCCCGACTCCCGACCCCAACTCATCCCCCCACCTACGTCAATTGCACCCCACAATTTTAGTTGATTTTAAGGTTAAAACTTTAGAGTTTAAAGTTAACTATACTTGCAGGGTGGAATTGATGTAGGTCGGGATGAGTTGAGGTCGGGACTTGGTAGGGAGGTTTAGTAGGGGATCAAGAGAGATATGAATCATTAATTTTACGAACGGAGCATCGTAGAACCCAGCCGTATTAAGATTTGTAGAATTTATTCTACAAAAAAAATCAAAATGGACCAAAAGAGTGAAATAAAAAAAATTGGAGTGTATACAAGAATGAGTGTGAAAAGGACAAAGTAAATGGGGAGCAAGAGAGGTTAACTGCTTTCTTTATCTTATTTTTGGGTATAGGAATTAGGAAGTGGGGAGCAATTGTAACTTTTAAAAAATTGGTGGGTCTACCTATAAAAAGTTAGATAAATCTTTCATTACTATACTACTTAGAACTAAAGATCAAATTCTCCCGTGAACTTAGAATCCACCGTACATCCATAGACGAATCTGATAAATAAATGCATATATACATAATGTTTTAATGTTTTTTTAAGAATAAGATTTTTTTAAAGCTCCGAACTATTATATACCACAACAACAACAACAACAACCCAGTTGAATCCCACAACAGTCTGGGGAGGGTGTGTGTACGCAGACCTTGCCCCTACTCGGAAGTAGGGAGGCTGTTTCCAAGAGACCCCCGGCTCTACCTGCACAAAAATATGGAAGAGAACACAGTATAGCACAGATAAGGCACCAAGTACAAGCAACAAGTACAAACAATAGCAAAAGATTCCCAACAAATACAACACACTACAAAACAACCTCTACAACACCGAGCTTCTATCCAGCTACTCTAATCCTAGTTCTCCAAAGGTTCCTATCTAGGGCCATATCCTTAGTCAGGTCGAGAAGTCCTAAATCCTGTCTTATCACCTCCTCCCAATTCTTCTTAGGTCTACCCCTTCCCCTACTTCCCCCAATAACTGTAATCCTCTCGCATCTCCGTACAGGGGCGTCAGCATCCCGCCGTCTCACATGGCCAAGCCACCTCAACCTCGCTTCCCGCAACTTGTCTTCCACCGGTGCCATACCTACTTGACGTCGGATAACCTCATTCGAAATCCTATCCAACCTTGTCTTCCCGCACATCCATCGTAACATCCGCATCTCCGCCGCATGCAGACGACGCACATGAGTCTTCTTAACCGCCCAACACTCTG